ACCACTGTTATTAAATTAAGAATGTTTTCTGGCTCAGTGCCTATAGCTCAGTGGCTAGGGTGCCAGGCACGTATACTGGAGATGGCGGGTTCAAATCCAGCCAAACAACAATGAAACTACGACCCCAAAATAGCCAGGCATTGTGGTGGGTACCTGTAGTCCCAACTACTTGGGAGGGTGAGGCAAGAGAATCAGGAGGTAAGCCTGACAGTGTGAGGTTGCTGTGAGCTGGATGTCATGGCACTCTACTGAGGGTGACAAAGTGAGACTGTGTCTCCAAAAAAAAAAAAAAAAGAATTTTTTCTTCCATCACCATCATTTACATGGGAAGAATGCATTTTATAACATACTTTATTACTTATAGCATTAATTGCAGGTACAGTCAGCTATCTGTTGAGAGAAAATTCTGAGTAAGAGTATCTTGGTGCTGTTTTCCAAAACATAGTATTTTGCACCTCTTCTTGAAGACCTGGAAAATGGCTTCTCGTAAGATACTGTTTTAAGTAATACAACTCAAAACACAGTATTTTACAATTGCCTTATGTAAGTACACTGGATACCTGTAATGCATCAGAATCAACCAATGTATTTTTGAAGAAGGTTTCTCTCCTGCTTATCAAGACTGTTGTTATAGGCCTGGGAGATCAAGTACATTTGCATTCTTTGTGCATAAGAACGGATGGCGACCACCTATACACTGCTCTACGAGAGAGTCAGTGTTTGACTATTGGTTAAATTACCGAGCATTTGTGATCAAAAAAAAAAATTAGTTTTCCTTACTTCTAAAGAAATAAGATGATTTTTTTCTTTTCTATTCTTTTTTTTTTTTTTTTTGAGACAAGCCTCAAGCTGTCCCCTCCTGGGTAGAGTGCTGTGACATCACAGCTCACAGCAACTTCCAACTCCTGGGCTCAAGCGAGTCTCCTGCCTGTGCCTCCCAAGTAGCTGGGACCACAGGCGCCTGCCACAACGCCTGGCTATTTTTTGGTTGCAGCCATCATTGTTGTTTGGAGGGCCTGGGCTGGATTTGAACCCACCACCTTAGGTGTATGTGGCTGGCACCTTAGCCATTTGAGCCACAGGCACCGAGCCAACACAAGCCATTTTAAAGCTTGTCTTTGACTAGAAAATGAAACAGAATTTTCCTCCGTAGTAGAAGCAGCAGCTCCACCCAGCCAAGTGTTAGGACCTCCTCCTGTGCGTCCCTCCTGAGAGACAGGGTGGAGTGCAGGCTCACTCACTGACTTGGGCTGGTCATGCCTTTTCTCTTTGGAAGGAACATTGACAAATCTAACACAGGGGAGAATCACATCACAATTTTAGTTTTGCTACATGCTGGAAACACTTCAACACAGCTATTACCTGAACTGTTTCTCTCTTTCTACAAACAAAACTTTCTGCCTAATACAATAACACTTAATTGACTAAATGAGAACAGCTGTGCTATTAGGTTACTTTTTAAAAAATGGAGTCATAATTTTGCAGTGACATTCGGAGGCAGGAAAACCCATGTAAATTAATAACACAATTAAGTGAGGTGAAGGCTATGTTAACCAGTTTGATGTAAGCATTCCAAATTGTATATAAAATCAGCACATTGTACCCCTAACTGCATTAATGTACACACTTACGATTTAATAAAAAAATTGTTAAGAGTAAAAAAAAATTATGCAAAATACTGCTTGTGTATGTAATAGAACACTTTCTAGGCGGTTAGGCTGTAGAATGTAAAGCAAGGGGGCTTCCAGTAGGTTGAAACTCATTGGAGATTACTCTTTTTGTTTGCTTTAGATTCTTAGCTCAGATTCCACCACCACCACCCCATTCTTCTATATCTTAGAGAAGCACAGATAGAGTCAGCAAAAGCCCCAAATCCTTCATGGTGGTGTGAGATTTTACGTAGTGTAACCCCTTTGGATGTTTAATAGTTCTTATTTGCATAGGATTCCTACATAGTGAGCAATTTTCCTTAAAGCTCAGATGCACCTGGGTTAAGTGTTATGTGACTGCCACTGAACAGGTTGCTGTTGTAAAAACGTAGGGATTGCTGTCTACAAAAGCAGGATTTTCACCAAAAACAGGGGGGTATGTTTTACCTTTTATTCCTTCAGTGAGTCGCATCGATCATCCCAGGGAAGAGAATTATAATTGAAAGGAGTGACACTGTTGTTAAGAATTCATTACATTATTTTTTATGTGGTTTTAACTTATACTCGGCTGAACAATTAGAAAAGGCTGCTTCTAGGTACTGTAATCAAACCAAAGAGTAGAAATCCGTGCACAGTAACACTGAAAGGCCCAGAATATAAACAAGTATTAATTAATATTGATTTTATAATACCTGAGCCTTTTTAAAGAAGTATAACGGTGGCTCTCTTGTTTTTCCAGAGTATCACTGCTTTCTAATTTATTTGCTTTTCAAGCTACAATAGTGCAAAACTCAAAAACATTATAAACATTTGGATCAATTTAACAAGTTTGTAAACTAAAACTGCAGCCTTTGACTAAGGCTTAATATAAATTTAGGCTACTTTCGGCATAGGAGACCAATAGATACTGAGAAAAGTGGAAAAAATCTCCTATGGTCCCTGGATAAAAGAACTTGCCAGTGAATTTTACTTCACTTTTAAATACAGAATAAAAATTCTATCAAAGATACTTTCAGAGACCTATCAAGTGAATTTGGCTCTCACTATAGTTCAACTTCAGATTGAACTTTAATGCACTATCATTGGTTTGACCATTGCATGTGACAGGGTCATATAGTAGGTATTCAGTAAATATATCGCAAAGCAAAGTCAGACTATCCTAGTGTGTAGAATGAATCAGTTTGAGTCTGAAACAGTACCCACGAGAACAAGAAGTACTATGTTCTTTTTAATAGGTGAAAAAAGTTAAAATAAGCACAAATATGTTTTCTGATAATTCACATGTGAGTTATCACAACAATGGCATTGTAGTTTGGAATATGGATAGAAATGACTTTCAGTGAATTTACTCAGTAAAGAACAGGCAGATACATATACTGAGGAGTATATTTAGTAGTTGAGTAGTTGTCATTGTTAGAGTGACATTCAGTCTCTTAAGATATCTTGAAATTGTATCACAAATCCTATATCACTAGGCAGCACACAAGACAGTTTCTCCTGTGTGAGAAGGGGAAAGAAACTCAAAGCTTTAAATACTCCTCGTGTTTTCAGCCTGGGGAGTGCGAGAGCTTCTGAAAGTGTACTGGTAGATGTTTCCTTGAATGTCACTTTCATGCCTCAAGCATCAGTCCCATTAGATGCTCACCGAGGAAGAAGTACTGAGTTTTATACAACAGTCAAGGTTTTAGGAGAGGCCTTGTTCAAATCAAATCTGTGTTTTTCCAAGTCAAGTGTCATTTACTAGAAGAATAAGCACATAATCCTCTAAAAAGAAGAAAAGGAGGACTGATAATACATGGCAAAGGTTTTCTTTTGTATTTAATGCAGTGAATATGTCGTCAACATTACCACTGAACTAAACATCTGAAATTTGATACAATAAACAAATAAAAACTAGTCATCTGTTCATGGTTACTAGCCACTAGATGCATCTGTGGTTGTAGAATATCAGCCTTATAGACGTCAACACAGAACATAAATGTCACATAAGGTATAATAGGAAGTTATTTCCAACAAATTATATGATCAAACTTTCTGTAGTAACATCAACTTCATGGAGTACTATGTTTCAGCAACAAACAGTGATGGTGGATGTGAGCATGTCATCTAGACAGGATGTGCTAAGTAGAGCATACTGAGGTCAAAGCCTTTCTGTAGAAAGGGAATTTAATTGACATTCTTTCAAGCATAGTGTATAAACAGATCAAAATAGTTCTATTATAAGAAATAGTATTTAACAACATATCTCCAAAATAAAAATACTTTAAAAATCAGCTTCAATGAGATTGAATTTTTAAAGAATCTTCCTTTAGAATGAAATATATATTTCTTGCTTTGAGCTTTTCTACATTTTTCCTGCATAACTCTCACCCCTGTCTATTGTTAATAAAGTAGTGCAAAACATTGTCTACAGCAATTTCCACTGAGCTAATCCCCTACCGAGTTAGGGAAGTAAGACGTTCTCACCTACCAATTTGTTTTTCTCCAGAGGTATACTTCCCTCAATAGACCAGGGAGTTAGATATAAAAACTACCTTAAGAGTCTTGGGAATACAAGTCAGAAATGTCACTTCTAAGGTATACAGTGACATTTTTAAAGGCAATCCCCCCAACTCCCAACAAGCAGTTTATTTTATAAAACAAGTTTTTCATGCATTCATATTATCAATGATTTTTTTTCATAAATGAATGTAATGAAACTGGCATACCACTGAGTACACTGCATTCTCCTCTACATTAAAATTCACACAGTAACAAAATCTAGTATGCATTAAAGCATTTCAGTAACCTAATGAGAAAGCAGATTTTTTTTCTGTGAGAACACTTGAGTATTAAAATATTTTTAGATGCACAAAGGTATACTCTGACACCAAAAGCAGTTATGGCTATAGTTTGCTAGTATTTGGACAACTGAACTGAGTTGCTAATTTGCTAACTCGGTACAAATTAAAGTAGCAGTAGATATAAAAATTCAGATAGGCAATCATTTATAAACCTGGCAGTATTGGTGTTATCTAGTCCTATAGAGATTTTAAGGTTTTAGATGGAATGATAGACAGTGTGCAGGTTTTCTTTATAGGGTTTCAGAGTGTTGAAGGTACTGCTGAGGGGCATGAATGTACCTTTGCTCACTAGCTTAAAATCATCCGAGTCACACCTAGTCATGTGCACAGGCTTGAATGTCAGCATCTAAGTCAGAATCCATGTTAAATTGAAATGCATTCATTCCATTATTCAGGCTTTGGGATTTCCCTCCCTTTTGAAATGTATAAAACATAGAAAACTGTAATGGATTACTTTTCAGATAAAAAATAGGCACATTTAACAAAAACTAAAATCAAATTGACATTTACTATTTATGTAGATTTAATCAGCGCACAGTTGAATATTTAATACACTGGTTCTTCCACTTGTAATTAGAGCAATGTGTACCTCCCCTGTTACTGTTCTTAGCGTTTGTTCCTTCAGTGTGTTGTGTTATCATCCACAGCTAACAGGCTTTCACACAGCAGTCGCTAAACCTTTTTCAAGTTGAGTCTGTACAATAGAAGTATATTTTCAAAGACATATCCCTTTGTACACTATTTACAAATTCTCTCAATCATGATAAAAAGGCAAAATAAATAAAAAGCAGAAAGAAAGGAAACACTGCTGAGGCTAAAGGCTTTTTCTTTCATCTCCCCATGCAGATGCTGGTCTCCTCAGTGCTGGGAGCAGGCTAGCCAAGATTGTTTTTCTTCCTTTTATATGGGCTATGAGAGGGATCTGGTTTCAGCTCTTGGTATTGCACCTGTTTAAACAGAGTTCAGAGAAAGATTGGTCAGGTGGCCACTTTCTGGCAAAGAAGGGGAAAGAAAGGAATGAGAGACTGCGTGGGGAAGAGTGTCCACTCCAGAAGCTGTGTGTGTGGGATCTGCAGCTGGGACCCAGAGACAGTGGGATGGCAGAGCAGGTGTCAGCAGGGAAACCCTGCCAGAAACGGCATGGGACCCGGCTGCAGTCTTCACTGTCCATCACACAGCATACTAAGAGCAAAACCACCTCCATCTACTTTGAAGGCCTAGATAATAGTTCTCTGCAACTTACTGTTTGATAATTTCCTCTAGCCCACTCTCATGTCAAATCAAAGGAAGAATTCAGATGAAACAAAGGAAAAAGATACTGCTGCAACCAGATTTTTCTGCAACTCTAGAAAGGATTTTGATAAAAAATCTTTTGGGGGGGTAGCACCCATGGCTCAGTGAGTAGGGCACTGGCCAAGGGTGGCAGGTTCAAACCCAGCCTTGGCCAAACTGCAACAACAACAAAAAAAAATAGCTGGCTGTTGTGGCAGGCACCTGTAGTCCCAGCTACTCGGGAGACTGAGGCAAGAGAATCGCCTAAGCCCAAGCGCTGGTGGTGGCTCACACATGTAATCTTAGCACTTTGAGAAGTTGAATCAGGAGGATCCTTTGAGCTCTGGTGTCTTAAGACTAGCCTGAGCAACATGACAAGACTCTGTTTCTACAACAGTTTTTTAAATGATCTGAACATGGTGGTGGTCACCTGTAGTCCCAGCTACTCAGGAGGCTGAGGCAGAAGGATCACTTAAGCCCAGGAGTTTGAGGTTGCTATGAGCCATGACACCATGGCACTTTACCCAGGGCAACAGAGTGAGGCTCTGTCTCAAAAAAAAAAAAAGGCAAACAAACCTTTCTTATTATACTTGAAAAAAGTTGATGGTTAAGGGGCATTCACCTCAAGGGATTTTTGAGATGTGCTCCAGATTTTAAGAAACAGCCCTCTCTCCACAAATGATCTCCAAAACATGCATCTTTGAAACTTTACTTGTGCAAATTCTGGAAATAAGTGTTTCTCTCTTAAATGTCTACTGGTGGAATTTGGTTTCATTATTTAATATTCCTGTTTCCCTTCCTCGGGTCATGGTGACGTCCTTTCATCATCTCAAGCCACACTTGGAGGAAGACGCCCTGCCAGGCTCTTCATGCAGCCCGCTTCTGCTCTCCCATTCTGAGTTCTTGGATAGCACCTCAACTCAGCTAAATTTTGGATTGGTAAAATCTGTCATGGGCTTTATTACTAACTTTACCCAGTTCTTCTAAGACTTTGGAAATTAAAAGGTCAAAACCCAGTGTGACACTATGTTAAAATAACAGCAAGAATAATGATGAAACCTACATACCACTTGTACGTCTGAAGGGACTCTGGAAAGGAAGTCAAGTAGTTCATTGTTGTCAATTGCATACGGACTCCGAAGCTTTTTTGTAAATTTATTGATGCCTGAAAAAGTGATAGATCAAACAGTAAATTATCCTATGTATGGAGTTATATACAAAGCACATTTCTTGTGGAAATGTTGCCGTGACTCGAAGATCAAGCTTGTACACTGCCTGTCAGCCTTGACTAAATGAGCTAATTAATACTCCAGTTTTCTCTCTTCCTGCCCCTCTTGCCCTCCTTTTTTTTTCCTTCCTCCCTCTTTCCCAGTTCACCTGCTGTTTGCTTTTCCCTTTGCTCTTCAGTAGCTCCTTCCAAGCAGGAAAATCTTTTCTATTTGGGAAATAAAAAGCAGTATCTAGCAATAATGAGCAAAAACTTGTTTTTTCCCACCTTAGTGTTACGGTACTGAAAAGCCTTGCTTTAGCGTTTCATCAATAATGAAATTTGGCTTCCTGTGTTTTAGATTGTGTCTGTTAAGGCAAAGGTCAATTTACTGGTTTCCCCCTTTTCAACTAATATGCGTTGGTTGGGAGAGGGGTGTTGCTGTGATGTGCGCTAAGTCTTTAGAGGATACATGACCTTAATTATTTTCAAACCTGAAATGAAAGCTACGAGCTTTGAGGAAAAATAAACAGCTTTACATAAAATGAACGCACTGGTAAAAACTGAGCCGTAAACTAGAGCATCTTGGCTCTTCTGAGAATTCACACAGAATAAACTGGAACCTTGATTTTGGTCTCTGTCTCCCCATATAAAACCCATGCCTTAAATTTCTGACAAATATTTCACCAATCACCTACCACTGAAGTAATAGTGTTCTTATTTTATCTGATGAAACAAGAGGCCCAAACACATCCTCTAAAATTACTTTTAAGACAGCCAGTGAGGCCATTGCAGGTTGTGTAGCCAGATGCCTGCCCTGGGCTCCAGAGAACTCAGGACACAAAACAGGCCCCCACCACCTGTCAGAACAGACACAGCTCTGTAAGCCCAAGGCAGGGCTGACCCTAAATAGGTGAGTGTTATAAGGTGCCACATGTGACACCTGATTCCCTCAATAGAACATCAGCTTTAAGAATCAGGAAGGAATGAAAGATGAGGACTTCAGCATGGAACAAGAAGCAAGACCGTAGTGGACATTGCCTTTTTCTTGTGTAGTGAAAGTGCTATCTTCACTGAATTTCTTAGAATTGTAGCAATTAGGAAAGGAAGAAATAGTTACCATTTTCCCCGCCTCCCACAACGGTGTAAAGGCAGTGATAGTGGTGGTGCAGGGTGAGAGGGCATGCCCAAGTCACGACACAGAGGGCCAAAATGAATAGGCAATCAGAAGACTTAAAACTGGAGGGTATGGAGACGGCAGACCTGGACTCACTTCACTCCAGTGTATTTCTTTAAAAGTCTTACAACTCTCCTTGATCTTTTCACTTTTCAACATCAGCACATGTTTTCTGAAGTTAAGACCCTTTTTGGTTCTTGGCATTTGTATAGGGTCAGCAATCTTAGGTACATGGGTATGCAGGTGAGGGGCAAATAAAGAACTCTGCTTCTCTCCAGTCTTGTTTAAGTGTATCATTGATGTCATGGTTCAATACATTAGGAGATCTGAAGACTGAAAATTGAGTTTTCCAAACCAAGAATTTGTTTAGGCCTCAAAAAATGAAGAATGCTGTAATTGACTGTCTTGTACATGCATCCTAGGTACACAGGAATTGCAACATAATTGCGCTAAAAATTAGGCCCCCCAAAAGCATTTTTAAATTAGGTTTTTTGTAGAAGCATTCTTGTTTAATACACAAAAGGTAGATTTTTTGCTTCTAACTAAGGAGCTTGTAAATGTCAAGGACCCTCTTCTGACTCCTAAAGGTGACCTCTTAACAGGCGGCTGTGTCTGTTTTCATACACTTCACAAAATAAAGCACCACAGCAAAAAAAGCATATCGTCCGAAATGCACCATATGGATCGAAATGCCTGTGTCTGTATATAAGTGGTGAAAATAAATCAGAGCTGTGTCTAGACAAATACACTTTGATATATGAAGAATCTGCACAACTCCATGTTTATAGTATGATGAAGCCTATGGTGCCAGATAAGAAAAATACATTTTGCAGGTAGACCTAAATCTCTGTTCTGGTGTGATTTTTAACCGACCTGTCTCTTTCCATCATGGACTACCTTCATGACCGTAAACATAGGGAAATGCCAACAACATAACTCTTCCCTTAAACATAGTTTGTTCGTAGCAGCTGAGACTGTTTAGGGTGGCAGGGGGAGGCTTTACTTACCCCAGACAAGGACAATGTATCTCAGCGGAATGAAGTACAGGATCACTGTGAACACACAGAGAGCTACAATGGCCAGCCAGCTCAGGAAAGGGACAGTCCAGTTGAAAGTACTGAATGAAAAATTAAGACATCAGCAATCTGAATACTTCATACCTTTTCCAAATAAAGATTACAATAACTCTGTCTCTAAATAAATAAATAAATGTGATTCTGACTAACTTGGGACTTAGTTGAGTCTGCATTTCTTTCTGGAATGAAATCCTATTATAATAGGCTATCAGGGGACATAGGCTAATCATAATTTGCTCAATTCCATGAACATGGGGCCCATGTGAGGGGTCTTGGTACCAACCTGACCAGAGGGTCCCAGGTGAGTCTAAAGCTGTTGCATTACTTGGGCAACTCCCCACATGGAAAAAGATCTCGGCTTTTCTACTAGAGTGAATACCTAGCCTTGTTTTCTCCAAATTTTCATAGAGGGGAACACTCCTGGGTTCCCTCTTTCAACTCTTAGTTGCCCCTACTTGAGAATAAAACATTCCCAGCAATTGTTAGTGGACATAAATCTTACGTGGTTGTGTAAGTCTTCTGAGTTTAGAATTCCTTAGAGGAATATTCACTTCCTACCTCAGTTATGTTTTGAATGGAACTAGAAATGAGGAAAGAGGAACAGAACAGTCAGCCTCATAAAGATGTACCTGCCATCACGCCCCTTCTTCCCAGAAATACAGAGGCAATTAGGAAATAAAGTCAGGATCGCTTACTATTCTCTGGCAAAGATAATATAGAGGGCCAGATCAAAAAAGGCTGTAAGACAGCATGATAATAAAGAAAGAAACAGGACCACTGACTAGAAGTAGTTACAAAACAAGGTAGTACTGAAGGGATGGGAAGGAATTTGGTGGGATGTGAAGACAAAGCCAAAAAGACAACATAGAAAAATTTTGTCAAGATGATGTAAAAAAAACCAGAGAAATGGAACATGGAAAGGCTGTAATCATTTAAAGGCTTTTTGTGTAGAAGCTGTGGTGATTCTAGTAATTATTAATAGAGTGACAAATTATGAAGAAAATAGAAACGCTGCATGGCACCTCCAGGGTTGGGCATATAAAGATGTCACCATTGCATTCTTTGAAATCTGTCCTCAATGTTCAACCACTAAAGAGGAACTAACAGGTTACGTTGACTGACTCTTTAGCACAATTTAATGAAAAGAGCCAAGATGTCAGCAAATGTGTTTTCAGAGCTTCAGTTCTGTTACGTGGTATTAGATGGCACCAGCCTCTCTAACACGTGGTTTCCCCTTTTGTAACATGAGATAGCTTTTATTGTTTCAGGGAAGATGGTAACATGTTTACATGAATTGAGATGATATTATTAGAGTTTATCAATTCCAGAAGCATAAAGTATAGCATTTTTGTGTAAGATAGTGATAAAGGCACCAAAGACAATTTAGAAAAATATAAATTATACATGTAGTTAAATGTCAGTGTTGTTTTTTCTAGTTTCCTGGTAATGTATTGTTGTCTTTGGGGCAAGGTTTGTGCACTGTGATTCAATTAAGGATGACTGCTAAAAGATTCTCTTCCTATGTAGAGTCTTCACATAATATATAGGAGTTGTTTCTTAGCACTGTGGCAGTAACTTGCTTTTTCTGTCTCTCTAGGTCAACTGTTTCCTAAAATTATTTTTTCTGGTCAAAAATGAACCAGTGTTGGATCAGTCACATTGACCTGTTCTCAGTAGCTCTTGGGGTCTGGCTTTTCTGTCATTGTCTTTTCCTTCCTAGTCAAGAGTAAGTGCCTGTGAGTGTCACCAAGTAAAGAATTATGCCCTTCCTTCTTGATGGACACCTGTGCCTCCCTTGTTGCTTGTGGAGAGAACAGAAGGCTGAAGGTCTGCTTGCCTCCCCTTGGCTCCACTCAGAGCCATCCATCACTCCGCTGCATGTGCGAGGCCCTGGCTCCTCACTCACAAGACCCTCCTCTGGGCAGCCCTCTGGAGGACTCCCTGTGTCCTGCTCCTTCCTATTGGAAGGGCAGATGGCAGAGAATCCTCACCAGTGTAGCCAGAGTTGGAAAAATAAAAAGACTGTCCTTTTCTATATCCACACTTGCATCATGGAAACTAAATCTAGAAAATAATACCCCCCACACAAAAAAAAGATGCAATTCAAGGAAGTTCTGTAATGATTATTTAGTAGCAAGAAATAATTATAAAGCCTTTTCATTTGGTGCTGAAAAATTGCTTCTCAATCTGCTTTCTGGACAGATGCTCTTAATCCCATGTGACCTCAGAGGAATTTCTCTTTTTTAGCATCCAAAAGATTGTTGTGCAGAAGAGATGACTCCTCCAAGACTCACTGGACCCTATGCCATATTCATATACTTCCACATAGAAAGTTCTGTGAAACCCAGGTTTCCCCTAAGCCTGGCCCACCACCAAGATCTGGTCCCATCCCTCATCTAGCCATCATGTTTCCCGGCCCAGCACCTGTTCTGAGGCCTCCTACCGCTCAGAATTACAAAGGAGTGTCCTCCTCTCAGACATTCACTAGCCTGACCCAGGGTCTTCTGGTGTAAAGGGATGTTTCCATCAGGTTATCAGCACACCATGACCCCACATAAAGGAGATAAAGGACACAGTCAATAGAGAAAGGCCCCCAATTCAGGGCTTCACACTGCACTTCAGAGGATAGGGTGTGGAGGACTAGAGGACATTGTTAGACATGGAAATACAGGGAGGAAGGAGGAGAGAGAATAGATGTGGAAATCAGTCTTCAGAAGTCTAAGACTAAATGCTGCTTAGGGCACATGTGGGAGTGAAAGGGAGGCTGTTCTGGCTAATGTAATATAAGAAAGTGGGAACTCAGCACCTAGGCATATGTGGAAATGTATTAAACAAAAAATTATACAAAATAAAATGCATTATCCCTTGCAACATGAAAGGCACCGGATGAATGACTCATACTTTTCGTTTAAATAATTTACTCCTTTCAAATTCTGTGTATGCCTAAGGATCCAAATCTGCAGAACACTTTTGGTTATGAATAATAAACAATGAATAGATATGTGAAACTAGGAAAATAAAAGCTGAGCTGAATAGGCAGCTCCCCTTCTTGCCTAGACCATTAGCAATCATTATGTAGGCCAATTTCCACATCATTTAGTGGTATAGGGCCTCAGCATACCTTTAAACTGATATTTGTAAGTTTTTATAAAGTAAACTGGTTTTTAAAATTATATTAATAAATATTTTAAAAATAAAATCACAATATAAGAATAAGAATAAGTGTCTTAAGTTTGCAATAGATCACAATGAAGCTATATTTCCTTATTTTAAAAAATTAAGGATTTTATTTGTTTAATTAGAAACCTTTTCTAAATAACAAAGCATTTAGCACTTATTTAATTGACAATTATGTTCTCAGCTATTTAGTACACAAATTTAAAAGAATTTAAGAATATTTTTGCCAGGTACCATATGTAATATAATTTCTTTTAAATTTAGAGTAATTTGATGAAAATATATTTAGACCAATAATAAAATGCAGGTGTGTCTTGATTACCTGAAGTCTTCATTGAGCTTGATTTATTTTTTTTTCTATCACAATTTCATATTCCATTTAAGAACAAAGTCTTTCACAGTGAAAAATGTGCTAAAATTTAGGACGGTGTTATTTCTTCAAAGCTACAAGTCTGACTTCTTTCCAACCAATATGTTCTAAATTTCAGGAAGGAAATTGACAGAACTTTCATAAAGCCAAAGACTGGCAGAAACAAAGTAAATAATGATGGAACTGAGCAATAGATCACCCAGAAGGAGTGTCCCCTGCCAAAAAGAACGTGGCATTTCACCCTCCGAGAAACAAACGGATGCCTGTCCCCCCCCGAAGGCAGGGCTCACGCATCAGCACCACTCACTTCTTTATCCTTTCGCCAAAGGAAGCCACTTCATCTAGGATGTTCTGGACACTGACACATACCTCCTGGATGGCATAGATTTTATTTATAAATCCCTTTTTTTCACTGTCCTAAAATACAATAAAAGAAGAAATTCTGTATGAGTAAAGGTTTTCTTCAGTGCTTGAATTCTTTGGGTTTTCCCTTTTTTACATTTCTAAACTTTATTAAATAAATTTCATCTTTGTGTGTCTATAAATGGGTAATTGGAACCCATGAAAATGTCTGAGTATTAAGGGTCACAAGGAAGACAGGGACGCAGTATCATGGCTCTGTGTTCAGTCTAGTTACAGGGGCTGCAGAGCAGGAGATTCAGGTCCTGCTGCTCTGGTCCTGATGGACAGAGTTGGGGGTGGTAAGAGAAGGCAGATCTCAAAATTATCAAACCCGGATTCTGAGCTGACTCCTGGACTCACTATGACTATTAGTGGACCTGGTTTCTTGACCCCACCACCCATAGACATCAGTTTGATTACGGCTCCAGATACGTTAGCAGCAGAGAATCTGGATGAAAATGAGAAAGTCTGTGAACAATGAAAACTGTAAAAAAAAAAAAAAAGGTAGTAAGGTCAACTGAAATCTACTCCGGATACTTCCTACATCAGAGCCACACTAAGCTTTGCCACCACCTAAAAGTAATAGTTCCATATTGTATACAGTAGCATATGCTATATTAGGTTCTATGTTCCCTCTTTGTACTTAGTTCTTCATTTTAAGATTTCTGTTGAATTTTTAAGCAACGCTAGTGAGCTCCATGTAATGGGTGGGGTGGGGATTGAGCTCACAGCACCCAGAGACTGGGATAAGTCTAAAGGAAATGTGCATATTTTGTAATTTTATATCTAGAGGAAGACAAAGTGGTGGCCTTTCACATGAAAATTCTGCATAGTAGCCTGGCATCACAGGCACTTGCCTAGGCTGCTCGGTGGAGACCATCCAACCCCAATTCCAGGACTCATTCCTCCATGCCAGCTTGAATATCTATAGAAATGTAGATCCAATTTCATTACTTTAACTTCTTTTGAACACTTACACACTATGCCAGAACACTTGAGACCTCACGTGGCAGTCAGTGCTTGCTGAAAGCAGCCAGGAAGCTGGAATAATAATGTCATGCTGCACATTTACATACTGACTTTCATTTCAGAGTCTGAGCACTTTAGACCGTGAGTGCTTGGCCAGGACTGGCAGCTCCACCTCAGAGAGCCAGGGCAAGTGCGTAGTGGGTCTGCGTGTGTCAGGGAGTACTGGGAGGACGGGCATGGAGGCCAGTTTCAGAACTTGATCTTTAGTATAGGCACCACTTACTTAGAGCCCTCATTGTAAATTTAATTCTCATGGAAGAAGTTGTGTATATTATTAATCTTCTTTATGCCAAATGGATTGCCAATGAGGTAGATGAGATGCATAAACCTCAGTCACAGTGCAGGGAACAATCAACTGCCCTTGGGGGTTCCCTGCCATCTTTAAAAGTCACCCTTCACTTGTTATGATAGACACAGGTGTACCAATTTCTTCTTCTCTTAAAACAAAATGTGTTAATTTCATGTATGCAACTGTACACTTTAGATAAAATGAATTACCAGTGGCTTCTTACAGTTCTTTTACAAGCTACAAAGATGGTCTGCCCTAATAATCTGCACGGCCTCAGGACGTGTCCTCTCATCTCTCAAGCACCAGCTAAGCTCATTTGTGACTACAAAGCAACATGTTCTTATAAATATTTTTCTGCATATGGAATAAGTCAGGCTGGAGTCAAATTAAGCAGGCTGTACAATGAAAGTCCATTGAAAATAATGTCTTTCCAGTTCACAGTTGAATGAAAAATATCTCAAAAATAGGTGAAATGTATTTCACAATGACAATACACAAAATTCTTTGCTATAACCTTAAGAAATGTACAAAATATATATGAAACAATGGTGCCCTCCCCCACTCCCTTGACCGTATAGGATTGGACACTAGATTGGATTGGATTTTGCCTTTTCAAGCAAATCCTAATTTTTGGAGTGGAGGAAATGGGAAGAATTTGATAGAGTTTCTGAAATTTGTTTGGAAGAATAGAAAACTACAGCCAAGAAATGTCTACAAAAGAATCAATTGGAAAGTATGTAGTATACTCAATATTTAGTAATTGAAATCAGATACAGACTTATAAGAGAGATTGGTATATAAGGTACTGTATATAAAGGAAACAAAGAAGGAAATGCTATGTCACCGGGCAACTGTGCTAACTACTTAGGGACAGTTTAGTCCTACCTTAAATAGATTCCTAATACAAGATGGCCCAAATTACCCCAATATTCACCTCAAATAGATAGCCCTAAGAATTAAATACATTCTTAATTAATTTTAAGAAGCTAAATGCTAAAAATGAATTACAAAAAGACAATACAGGTGAGTTATTTACTGACCTTGGAATAGGAAAGAACTTTTTAAACATCCAAGCAGTAAAATCACAAAGAAAAATAACTGAGAGTAGTGGTTACACTAAATTAAAACTTGAAAGTCATAAGTTTAAAAAGCTAAGTTGAAAAAATTGCTAACAAATATGACATAATGGGATGGCAGTTCTAATATAGTCAATAAACATCCAAAACCTTTTTATTGCTGTTCTGTTTATAATAAGAAAAATTATTAACGTGTTGGATGGATTAACTATAGTGCATACAACTGATGGACTTCTGAAATTAGAAAAAAAATTCAGAGAAAATATTTAATGACCACAAAAATGCTTATAATCTTCTTTTAAAGAAAGTTGGAAGTAAATAATCCTAACTCATTCACATTTTAAATGGCTATGTTGGGAAAAAAGATGAAGGGAATGTGCCAAAATATTCCAGTAATGGAAGTTTATCTTCTTCCTACCTTCCTGTAATACTCAAATTCTTTTCAATTAATGTTTTACTTTTGTAATCAAAATATTTCCCTAATATTTTTCTAGTATTAAGGGAAGATGTGTAGAAGATATAAATGAATTAGTGCTTAGTGAGCATGGTTTTATGGTGGTTTATATTTTCTTAACTAATTTATAAGCTATCTCATTTTTGGAAAGAATTGGAATATACTTGCATCACTCATTAAGCACCACAAAGAGCTTGCCACATAATTCAATCATCACAAGCGGGCTACAGTGTTGTTATTTTTCTCTACCCTGCAAAAGAGGAAGCAGGCTCAGGGAAAAGTTACTGAGCTTGGATTGGGACTATACCAAATATATCCAGGGTCTGTACTTTCCACAAAATACTGTGTGATCTCCCTCTTCTATCCAAGAAGTTTTTAGCTTCTACACAGAATCTCTGAGAGATAATCAAGAGGGGCAGGCACCCAATTTTATTGTAGACACCATGATCTAGCCTTGGGGCTCATCGTGCAGCTGTAATCTTCAGCAAGAAAATGAAATTCAGAAAGATGATTCAGAGGTGGAAAATGAAAGATGTGTTAGCAAGCATGAGATGTAATGTCAATGATGTCGTGTGCAAATGTTAAATGTGGGACCTACATTAATAGGACGTGTTATCTGCAAAGGCAATTTTTAGCAGATACTTTAAAATCCAAGTGTTAATGTATGACTATTGGCTAAGATTTTTTTAAAATATGCTCACTCTTGATTTCTTTTTGTTTCTCCTGCACTCCCAGCCTGGGCAACCAAAAGACAAAATAAGATGGTCGGTCTGTAATTGGCAAAGTTTTGAAAAGCAAATGCTTTGGGATAAAAGTTTTATTTTAAAATCTCTGTTATCAAATTCTATATTCCTCCACTGTGGTCTCCAACCAATGAAGTAATTATTCTTTATATATAGTATATGACCCAAAACTGCAATGGGTAATGGAATTTCACTGTGTTGCATTCCAATATTTCACTTTTTTTTAGTAATGTTCAATACTTTATTAGTAGAGAATAAATTGGTACATTTCTTTTATTGTCATTTTTGTTTTCCTTTATAAAGCAGCCTGGCTGAAAGAAATATCATAGAGTAGTTAATCATCCAGAGGCTTCCTGGTGACACTGTTTTGTTTTTTTTTTTAAAAAAAAACATGCATTATTAGAGTTTCTTTTGAACATGTAAAAAGAAAAAATACCCATAAAAGCAGCTATAACTATAAATCTGAGAATGTAAGATTTATATCGCATGACTATTTCTAATGATTCTATACAATTTTTAAAGGCTCTCTTACTAGATCTTAAATAGTCCACAAAACATCACTAACTGTAAAACTTGAATGACAGTGATTCTTGAACATGTGCCTTATTTTACGATCACCTGTCATAGTAGAAAGTTAAGTAGATTCTTCCAAAGAAATAGCTACTTTCTAGCTTTGAGATGGGAAAATCTAAAGACCTGAAAATAACCAACAGGTGTGCCTTACATACTTGGAGAATCCTGCACATTAACTCTCATAACTAAATGACATTGGTTCTGTTTTGAATGGGGACAGGAGGCCACCACGCAGGTGTCAGGCAGTGTGTCCTCTGTGCCCAGCTCCTCCTCTGGGCTGCGTCCTGACACTCCTGCACTGAGGGGCCATTGTGGTCACTTTCAACCCTGCTAAGGTCACAGAGACTCAATCTGGTGAATATCTGGCTGTGTTAATCAGTTAGCAAGTATGTAGAATTTGCTGGCTACAAAGATTACTATAAAATGGATGTGGCTTCACTCTCTAGGGTGAGAGAGGATCTTGAGAGTGAAGGGGGTGTTCTTAATCTTGTGCCAGGATGACGAGAACAGGCCTGTGCCCGCAAACGCCTGTGGGCACGTGGCCACTTCCCTACTTTGTGGAGGAAATATTCAGATTTGAGATACCTTCCACCTTGAAGAGTTAATCGCAATCAGATTTTTGCTTCTTTTAGAAAGTCTTGCTTATGGAACCTCGGGCACGAGGTGAGTGACAGGTTGTTATTCGCTATGAGACGTGATTTCAGTTCACCACCGACTGCAGCTGTCTGTGGACAAGAGCAGACGCTCGGGGCACGGCTGCGTTTCTCGGCTATTTCCAGGGCTGGCGGCGGCTGCGCTGCCCTGCGGCGCTCCCTGGTCCAGCCCCAAACGCCCTGCCAAGCGGACTTCCT